CTTGTCTGTCGGTCACTCCTGGGGACAGGTCATTGGCCAGAATGGGCCTGGCCACCGCAAGGGTGTGAAATTTGAGATATTTAATCCCCTAAAGCAGTGGTTGGCAAACTCATTAGTCAACAGAGCCAAATATCAACAGTGCAATGATTGAAATTTCTTTTGAGAGCCAAATTTTTTAAACTTAAACTTCTTCTAATGCCACTTCTTCAAAATAGACTCGCCCAGGCCGTGTGGTATTTTGTGGAAGAGCCACATTCAAGAGGCCAAAGAGCCACATGTGGCTCATGAGCCGCAGTTTGCTGACCACAGGCCTAAACACATGCTTCCTGCCATTCTCCCGTGTGGCCCACAGCCGTATGGACCCCACACACAATGGACGAATGGACCGTACCTAGCCTGATGTTGGGCTGGACCCGGCGGCAACTGGCTTTGCTTCCAGGTCTACCGAAGCCCCCGCGGCACTTCCTCTATGACTGGGCTCAGGGAAACCGGACTTTGGAAACCCGGGGGCGTAATTTCACACGAATAAAAGTAACTCATCCTCCCGTGTGCGTCTCAGAACATTCTTTTTGTGGAGATATCCTAAGGACTCCACCCCAGCACTCAGGGGGCGGGGAAGGGATACCTCAGCTTCCCCGGTAACAGATGGAGTGGTTTTTGCCTCCACATGAGTCTCGCCTCACCTTCCTTGCAGACTGCAGGACTTAATGCCTATGTGTGCTGCGAGTTACTGCAGGAATTTCAAGAAGAGATAGAAATGCCTACAGCAGAAAATGAAGTCACAGGGCACCCTGACCCACCCTTGGCCTGATAACGCAGACTATGTGGACTGCTCCCGGCCCCCACCCCAAACCCCATCCGTGTGGCGCCCACAGGTGCACCACACGTCGGGGACAGCCAGGCAGGGCAGGAGGGGCTTGACCTGCAGGCCACTTGGTTGGTCTGACAAACGCAGCTGCCTCTTAACGAACCAATGGTGGAGATTCTCGGTGGGGCTGCAGAGTGCTTCCTGAGACCTCTGGGGCTGTTCCTGGCTTTGGGGGTTTGGCTGGGGGGTGGCAGGTTAGGACGAGTGGGCCAGAGCACTAAGCCACATGTCCATGGGACCTGGGCTTCCTATGGCTCTTTCGGACGGAAGCAGGGACATGAACTGAGCGCACAGCACAAACAACTTCAGTTAGGCGGGAGGAGGAGCTACCGGTGATGAAGGCAGCTGGGCCCGCTGGGAACAAAGGTGTGTGGAGAATTTCACCTCATTTCAAAATTAGGAAGTTAGGAACCATCTCTACTTGCAAACCTGGTTAAGGGGAAATTAACTTAAAAGTGTAAAACAAAGAACTTCCATTAGATCAAAAGAAAAACTTCCAGAACTTGAGAATGGCCAATAAGCAGGAGGATTTGCCTGAACCACAGGAATGAGAGTCCGATGGTGGCAAACCACCTAGGGAGATGTTTTTAAGGCCAGAGGCCCTTCCCTTGGCTCCTAGCTACATGAGACAATTCATGTAAAGCACTCAGCATGGCTCCTGACATGCTAAGCACTCAATGAATGGTAACTGCATCATCATCATCATCATCATTACTATTACTATCTTATCCCAGGTGCCTGTCCTCCCACCCACATAAGTGATCCCTTAGGTTCCTCTCCGATTTCCTGCAGAAAAGCTGGGCCTCTTTCACTGTTCTTCCCCCCTCCCCCAATGTGCTGGGAATAGGAGTCTATAATTTTCAAATTCATGTTGTTTCCACTCTAGTAACCAGTCATTCACACGGCCATATCCATAGGACTTTACAGTTTCCACAGTGTTTGCATGTAGGTGTCGGACATCAGTGAGGGGGAAAGGGAGGCGCAGGGAGGTGGCAGAGCTGGAGCCAGGACTCAGCTCCCGGGACCTCAGTGCTGATCCCAGTGTGTCCTCACAATTCACACCCCACGCTCAGCACAACCCCTCTGCACCCTCTGAGGGTTACCATGTGGCCCCCATTAAGCCCCTGGAAGCTAACTGTACTTCCTCCTTCAAAACTCCAATGCTACCCAGACAGTAGGCTGCATTGTTTGGCTCCCATGGTGTTTCCAAAAATCAAATTAGGTCCAAATAGTTAAAAATCAGAAGATATTGCCATGGCCGGTTTGACTCTGTGGCTAGAGTATTGGCTTGTGAACCAAAGGGTCTTGGGTTCAATTCCCAGGCAAGGACACATACATGGGTTTCAGGTTCAATCCCTAGCCCCAGTTGGAGCACCTGCAGGGGGCAACCAATAATGTCTCTCTCACATCAATGTTTCTCTCTCTCTCTCTATCTCTATCTCTATCTCTATCTCTATCTCTATCTCTATCTCTATCTCTATCTCTATCTCTCTCTCTGTCCGCCCCCTGGCCCCAGCCTTCCTCCCTTCTACTCTCTCTAAAAAATAAATGGAAAAAATATCCCAAGGAGAGAATTAACAATAACAAAACAAACAAAAAAATAAAAAAATAAGGAGATATTCCACTAAAATTGGGATTTTTAGGAGACATGGAACGGTTGGGCCGGAACGGCGCTTGGGTTCTGCTGGACGTGAAGGAGTGAAGCCCTGCATGAGTCCCTCACTCCTTCACATCACCTGTACACGTACACGCCCTGGCATGGGATGCATGTCACATTGGTGTGTTCGTGTGTCAAAACCTGTCTGGGTGTAAGCCCACATTGGCCTGAGGGTGTGTCTGTATGTGTAGCAGTCATTTGATAATTTTTTAAAAGAAGAGTTTATCGATTTTTAGAGATAGGAAGGGAGAGGGAGAGGGAAACATTAATGTGAGAGAGTAACATTGATTAGCTGCCTCCTGCACGCCCCCTACCGGGATCAAGCCCCAAAACCTTGGCATATGCCCTGACCGGAAATCAAACCAGCAACCTTTCGGCTCACAGGATGATGCCCAACCAACAGAGCCACACCGGCCAGGCACGGTGCTAGGCTCTGGAACTGTAACAGTGAATCAGGCAGGCACCGTTCAGCCCTACTGTCTGCAGGGGGAGTCACAGGAACGGATCATTACAAAAGGAAATGCAGCCAGCAGGGGAAAGGAAGGTGGCCGCTGAGTCACAGGGTCAAGGGAGGCCTCCTGACTTCGGCGCTAAAGGAAGAGAGAGGAACAGACAGTGACTGGCTGGTGAGAAGGCAGAAAGGGGGCAGGGTTGGGAGGGGCAGAGGAGCCAGCTCAAGCAAGACGAGACAGCCCAGACGGTGGGCAGGGAACCCCGTCCTCGAAAGCGACAGGGAAGTCTGAGCTTCTCCTAGACTACAGGAAACCAGGGTGGGCATCTACTGATGGAGCCACCAACTACATGTCCAAGGATTTAAGAGCCGCCACATGTGTGACGCTGTCTGCAGGAGGAGCAGTCTGTGAGACCCCAACCAGACCCCGAGAGCCCCAGCGGGTGCAGGAAATCGGGGGGCAAGGTGGGGGGAGAGTGGTTGCACAATCCCTCTGAGCACGTTTATTTTATTATCTAATTAGCATCTTCGCATTCTCCTCACGTGGGGCCAGCAGCCTCCAATTCTAATCCTCTAAAATCCATTAGATTATTCTCTCCTTTGCCTGAGATGCTCCTTAAACCCCAAACAAAATCATAGGAGAGAGAGTTGCGATAAGGGGGTGTATGAATATACAGAGATCTCTACTTGCCTGGGCTTACCAGGTGGTGTTTGAGCAAGAAACGGGACATCAACATGGATGTGCCCTTGGCAGAGAGGGAGTGAGGGGCTGGGGATGGTGGGGTAGGGGGGGTGGGGGGGAGACACGACCAGTATCTACCCTAAACTGGAAATGGCTCAAATTTCCAGACCCCAACTCAGAAAGGCCCTGAAGCAAACAGCACAAATGATGCTTTGACGGCCCTCTCCTCCCCTCTCATCTGCCCCCCTTTTGTCTGAGGAGCTGCAGGAGCCTCCTCCCAGGCCTCCTGCCTCTTCTCTGCCACCCCATCCCTCCCAGTGCCTGCTCGACACTGCCCTGGCTTCTGCCCTGGCTCCTCCGTGTGTCTGCATCTAGTCAACTTTGGGGTTCCGAGCTCCCCAAGTCCTTGAAAAGCTGTGGAAGAAGCAGCAGAAGAACGAACTTGGAGGCCACTCCCCACGCGTACACGCCCATAGCCCTGAGCACCTGCATTTTCCGAGTGTGTTGGTGTGGGCTTCTGGCTTCCTGCCAGGGTGACCTCCTGCCCCACGCGCAATCCCAGCCTGGCCTCGTGGCCACATGGTTCCCCAGGCTGTCCCTTCTGCTCAGTCGCCTTCACCTCCTTTCTCAATTCTGCCCGTCTCTCCCAGGCTCCTCTTTGGGTGCCCCTCCACCACAAAAACCGTCACCCTCTCTGGGACCCACCGCCCTGGGCTCCAGCACAGCCTACAAAGAACTGGAGTCAGCTCAGTCACACCATGCCCTCTAGCGAGTCTCTAGGCCTCCATTGCCCCACCTGCAAAATGGGTGAGTGCTTATCCTGCCTCAAGGAGGTGTAGCCATGAAAAAATGAGTCAGTGCATCAAAGGCCTAGCCAGTCCTCAAATCCTTCGGCACAGCTCCCCCACCCGCCTCACCCCAGGAGCCGGGGGGACCCAGGTGGCCGTGAGAGGCTGCGGCTGTCAGTCGTGATGGGCCGGAAAAAGCCAGCTCAGTCTCATTAGGCCCCGTGGGTTCCCCAAATAAAAAATGCTGCCGAGGCAGACACGAAGCATCAGGGACGCACACAGCCTTGGTTCCCGACAGGAGAGAATGCGTCTTCCCTTCCCCTGTCATTTTTTGTGCCTGTCATTCAATGAACTTGAAAAACCTCCGGCTTTTAAAAAACAGATCAGAGCCATTCTCGCCCCTTCCCCCATCACCCCCCCACCCCTGTTTTTCTTCTCCATCCTCTTGCCCAAGCTCCCTGTGGTATTGGGACCAAAAAAAAAAATATTTTTTTAAAAAAATTACAGCTGTGTCCTCCATTAGAGCCCTTGCGAGAAGTCATTATAGAACTCACGCTTATTTTGGTCGCGTCCTTCCCCGCGTCTTCCTGCTGAGATGCTTTTAGCTGTTGGGAGCGGGAGGGGCGGAGAGAGCAGAGAGAAGCCATTAGCACCACTGAGCGGGGGTCCGGACAGCAGCTAAGATTCTAGCAGCAGGTGAACGCTGGGGACCCTGGGATCCAGTGCCGGGGGCCCCTCAGCTCTGTGTCCACTCAGGGAGTGGGAGTGAGGCAGGGTAAAACCGGCTGTACCTGGGGGTCCACGGGGTGGGTGCGTGGGAAGGCAGAACGTGAGTCCGAGGGGTGTGCCAGTCTGTGCTCCTGTGTCTGTGTCGGTGCATGGGCTGTATTTTCAGGGGTGTCACGCACATGAGCGAGTGCCTGCAGCAGACGCTGTCGGAGCCCTGCCCACAGGCTGTTCCCTGAAAGCTGGCCCGGAGGGACCCAGCTGCAAAGACCGGCACCTCGGCTCAGGGCTCTCTCTGAGCGCTGGAGTCCTCTGAGCCTGCGTGGCGGGGAGGCGGCACTCCCAGGAGCAGGACGGAGCTGAAGGGCATCTGTGAGTATGTGAGAGGCTCTCCCCTGAACCTGCCAGAACGTGTGAGCACCCCCATGTGTGCACGGGGAGGTGAGCGAATGTACGTGTTCATATGTGCATGGGTGGGAAGAGAGGGTATGTTTGCATGTTATTTGCATATCTACAAGGGTGAGAATAAAAGAGTTCCAGCCTGGGTTCCCCCAGATGCAGCCCCAAGAGAAAGGCTTGAGTCCAAGTGGTATATCAGGAGGGGACCCCAGGAAACATCCGTAGGGGACTGAGTGAGGAGGACAGAAAGGGAGGAAGTCAGTAATGGGTGCATCATCAAGCCAGGACCCAGCGTGGGCACCTGGAACGTACTCTCCCTGGGCACCTCAGGGGAGGAGGTGCCAGCTGAGGGACGAGGGTGCTGAGGGACTATCCTCCAGCTCCTGTGCTCATGGCGGAGTGCTCCTCCAGCCGGCCTCGCTGACAGCAGGCTCTGTTGTCCACAGAAAACCCTCAGAGAGAGTCACGGGGTTGGCTGTTGGCAGTGGGGCTGGTGGCAGGGGGTGGTATATGCCTGGGTGTGCGAGCAGGGACTGCAACAGCATCTGGTCCCGTGGTGGGCACACATGAATGTGTCGCTGTGTGGAGGCCAGTGCATGCACAGAGGCCGGCCGCTGGTGTGCCTGCACCAGTGTGGAAGGGGGCACGCCTGGTGCTCGTGAACTCGGCCACGGTGTCTGCCGTCCTCACAGGGGCCTTTCCAACACAGCTGTCCGTGCATCTCGGAGAAGTGGCGGGAGGTGAGTCAGAGCGCCTGGAGCCAGCTTCCGGGCCCCTGCCTCAGTTTCCCCACCTGCACACGGAAGTGTGGCTGCACTCTGTGCTCTATGGAGGGCTCCCTGGTGGTGCCCATCCCACGTGCTCAGCCCGGCTCTGCCTCTTGCCGGGGAAACATGCTTCATCTCAGGAAGAAGGGAGAGGGGAGGGAGAGGGGTACTGCAGGGACAGAGCGGGGGCCCAGACCCCTTGGAAGAGCTGAGGGGCAGAGACACCCCAGTCGGGGCCAGTTCTGGGCGGAGTACCTGGTTGGAGGCCCACACCTGCTTGTCGGTCCAGTCCCTGTGGCTCCGCACGTACCACCACTGGATCTCCAGCGAGTAGGAGGGGGAGCCGCTGCCACGGAAAGAGCAGGCCATCTCCACGTCCTCGCCCGTCCGCGCCGTCATGTCGTGGGGCGTCTCTGTGAACAGGGCTGTGGGAGAAACGGGGAGGCGTCGCCGGGGCTCAGGAAACCGGGGCCGCGGCCACAGCGCTGGTGGGTGGGAGAGGCGGGGAGGCAGGAGCCCCAGGGCTGCGGGTGGGACCCCGGGAGAATCAGCGCGGGGTGCGCAGCAGCAGCTGGCAAGATGGGGGATGCAGGAGTTGGCCTGGGCCCTGAATGCCCCACTGGAGCCCGCTTCTGTCCCAGAGCCCATGGCACCACCAGAGACTCTCACAGGGAGCGACGGGCCAGAGGAGACTGGGTTGCAAGGAGGCCGGGAAGGAAGCTGCCCGTCCCATCAATTCTTCCAGATTTCTCCAGGCGCCTGCCCCCCAGACCCTTACAGGCTATTCCCAACCCCAATGCTCAGTGCAGCGGTCACCCAGGAATGCTACCTCCATCCGCCTTCCCACCCAGCCCCATCTTGCCACAGGGCTGAGATGGGCTTCCTTGGGTGGGAGTGGGGCTCCATCAGGGGGACCTGGGGAGGGGGACTTCCACCCACCTCATTCAGTCTCCCTCTGGCCGCTGGTCTGCCTAAACTAACGGAAAATTCGGGCCCTGAGCCACCAGTTCCTGTCCCTGATGCAGAGCTCAGAGAGGGCCGTGTCCGGCCTGGGATTGCTCAGCGGCCAGAGGTCACAAGGTCAGGTCCCAGCCCCACATCCATGGCCAGCCCTCTCACCCTCAAAAGCCCTGGTGGCCCCTCCACAGCCACCTCTCCCCTCAAATCTCAGCAATGGTCACACAGAGAGGACTGTCCACAGGCAGAAACACCTTTGAGGCACACAGAACTTTTACGTGTCTAGTAGCCACATAAAAAAAAATGTTTTTGTTTTAATTTTTGTTTTAAATATATTTTTTTATTGATTTTTCTTACAGAGAGGAAGAGAGAGGGACAGAGAGTTAGAAACATCTATGAGAAAGAATCATCGACCAGCTGCCTTTTGCACACCCCCACTGGGGATGTGCCTGCAACCAAGGTATGTGCCCTTGCCTGGAATTGAACCTGGGACCTTTCAGTCCGCAGGCCGACGCTCTATCTACTGAGCCACACCGGTTTCAGCCAAAAAAGGTTTTTTAAACAGGAGAAATGAATTTTTAAAAAAATTTATTCATCTTTTTATTTAGGTATAAGGTGCTTTGAGCATCTACTATGGAGCAGGATAATGTTGACATTGAATATATGAAAACAAAGAATCCTGTCCTCAAAATGATTCCAGTCTGATAACTAACAGCTGTAAGACATTACATGCATCAATTCATTGTCTTCTCACTTTTTATTTTGAAAAATACAAAGCTTTCAGAAGTTGGAAGACTAGTACATGAACACTCTTATACCTTTTACCTAGATCTACTAAGGGTTAACACTTTGCAATATTTTTGTTATCTCTGTCTATTTCTGTGTGTCTATCTTCATATAGATGTGTATATACTTCTTTTTCAAATGATTAGAATGATTGTAGATATCATGACATTATGACTCTGCACCCTAAACACTTTAAAATTTGGTGTAAGAATACTGTTCTCTTTCCCAAGAAATTTAGCATAGATGTAATATTTTTCTAATATACAATCTATATTCAAATTTTCTCAAATATTACAATAATTTCCTTTATTGCTAACTTATTTAGTTCTTGCAAAACTCTATCAGGCACAAAGAAGTTATCTGTGAAGTTTATTTATTTATTAATACCCCAAAGTTATTTTTATATAGCAAAATTGGTTCATCTTTTCCTTCATGGTTTCTTCCTTTGTTTTTGACTCATGAAATGTGGGTAATCATTATCCTACTTCAGGGATTTGAGCTAGCTCACTCCCATCCCTGAGTGCAGAATGATAACTATTCCCCAACATTGCTCCTAGCAGTAGCTAGGCATTTCCTTTAGACTGGTGGAATTTGTTAAGAGAGCTGTGGCAAAGTATTTCTTTTTCAACATTTTTTAAATTAAATTATTATCTGTGTACATATTTTAACATTGCCCCCCCCCCAAAACATACCCTCCCTCCCCAGAGTTTTGTGTCCATTGGTTGTACTTATATGCATGTATACAAGTCCTTCGGTTGATCTATTATCTCCCCTAGATCTCCCTACCCTACCTGCTGTACTTTGACAGTCTGCTTGTTGCTTTACTGTCTCTATATCTATCTTTTGGTTCATCAGTTTATAATGTTCTTTAGTATCCATAAATGAGTGAGGTCATGTGGTGTTTCTCTTTCATTGACTGGCTTATTTCACTCAGCATGATGTTCTCCAATTCCATCCAGGTTGCTACAAATGATGAGAATTCCTTCTTTTTTATGGCAGCATAGTATTCCATCGTGTAGATGTACCATAGCTTTTTGATCCAATCATCTGCTGACGGGCACCTAGGCTGTTTCCAGATTCTAGCTATTGTAGATTGTGCTGCTATGAACATAGGGGTGCATATATCCTTTCTGATTGGTGTTTCTAGTTTCTTGGGATATATTCCTAAGAGTGGGATTACTGGGTCAAACGGGAGTTCCTTTTTCAGTTTTTTGAGGAAACTCCACACTGTAGGAGAAATGAATTTTAATAATGTATTTTAGTTAACCCCAAATATCCAAAGTATTATTTCAAATAATAAAAATAATTAATGAGATAGTTTACACTTTTTTGTTTTGCTAAGTCTTGGAAATCCAGTGTGTATTTTACATGATCTCAGGCATCTCAGCTTAGACCAGGCACACTGCCGGTGCTCGGCGCTCGGGCCACCTACGTTGGCATCCCAGCAGGGGGGCTCCGTGCCAGCCTCAGCTCCGCCCCCTCCCAGTCCCCATTGACAGCCTCGGAGTGACCAGTGCCACGGAGTGACCCTCCCAAGGCCACGTGTAGAGTCTGGATTTGAACCCAGGCTTGTCTGACTCCCAAGACCCTTCTTATCCCGTGAATTCACATTCTTTTTGGCTGCAGAGCTCTTTTTCCTTAAAGAGAAACAATCTAAAGCGGCCAGCCTCCCAGGGTCCTGTGGGGCCAGAGGGGGTCTGTTTGGTTCTGAGCGCAATGCCTGGGCAGGCACAGAGGAGACGTGCCACCAGCCTGAGGCCCCTGGGGAGGCTGCCTGGAGGAGGTGGTGCCCAGGCAGTCCTGAGTCAGCAGTGGGCAGGGGTGGCTTTTGGTCAGAAGGCACAGAGAGAGAGTCTGGCTCCAAGACTCTGGGGCCAGGTGAGTTGGCTGTGGGTGTGGGCTCTGGTCGCAGATTCTCTCCAATCCCCTCAGACCCTCCTAGGGGTGAGGTGGGGAGGGCCCCTCAGGACCCATTGGCTCCAACCTTAGTGGTGAAGAGGGCAGGATGTCTCAGGACAAGTGGAGAAACTGAGGCTCTGGGCAGTGGATGGCATATCTGTGTCTCCCTGTTCATCCGTGGCAACATGAAGGCCTGTGCCAGGCACCGCCCCGGGGACCCTTCACGCGGGGAGAAGCTGTGTATTTGAGAAAGCACCTTGAGCGTCAGACTGGGAGCCGGAAATGGAGAACTGAGCCTGTGTTTGCCAGAGACGTGCTGTGTGACTTTGGGAGAAGCTTCTCTCCTCTCTGAGCCTCCATGGGGATTAGAATTCATGGTTGGAGAACCCCACCAGCTCAGGCAATCTGAGGGGTGGGTCACTGCTCCGTGGGGGAAGGGAAGCTTGAGGGAGGAGGAGGTGGCATGTCAGCCGGGCCCTGAGGACTGGTGGCAGAGGCAAGAAGAAAGAGAGTGTTTGATCCAAGGCAATAAGGAGGGAAAGCCATCAAGCACACACAGGATCCTGGAAGGTGTGTTTGAAAGTAGACATTTTTGTGTAAATAAAAATATGAGCATTTAACATTTTTAATTGTGCTTATGTTTCTCACTTCCTGGTAACAAGCACTCGCTGCTTGTGACATGAAATAAATAAATAAATGTTTAAAAAAAAAAAAGAAGAAGAAGAGAAAGCCAGAGTCCTTGTTGGGAAAAAAAAAAAAAAAAAAAAAAGCACAACATTCACTGAGCATCTTAGCACCAGGCAGACACAGTCTCTAATCCACTCACTCCCCTTCGACAGACGAGGAAAAGGAGGCTCAGAAAGGTGACATGACTGGCCCGAGATTCACAGAACTGGGTTTTGAACCTACATCTGACCAGCAGATGTGCCTGAGACCCAGGAACTCATTAGCCTCAGAATCTGGTCTGAATTATCAGGTGAAATTCAGCCGCCAGGCTCCTCATGTCTGCATCCGCTTCCTAACGGACAAGGGCAGCCTCGCTCCTCCCCCGGAAGTGGCAGTTTTAAGTGGCGAGAGGCTCTTGCTCCCTCTCCTAACCCTGTGAGTGGAAACATCCTATCGGCACCAGAAACCGGTAGGTGGCCTGCCCTGATTCTGGTGATGCTGCTGCAATAACAAACGCTAATACATACGGAGTCCTTGGTTTGTGGCGGGCACTGAGCCAAGCCCTTTACACACGTTTCTCATGTTCCCACCATCGTGCTAAGGCGCAGGTGTGATCGTTACGATGCCCCATTTCCAGATGGGAAGACGGAGGCTCAGAGAGGTTCAGAGTGAGCAGGTGGTTACATCTGCACCCAGGTCTAGAGGGCTCTAGAGTGGACGCCAGTAATTTCTAGAACTTGCTCCTGCAGCTCTTTTTCCTGATCCCCTACCCGCACCTCCTCCCTCCAGCCACCCCCCAATCTCCACAAGAGCAGCCCTGCTGAGTTTAGGACATAAAATCCATGTCTCCTCTTGGATTTCCTTCTGTCCCTGAGCCCTCCTCCCGGCCAGGTGACTCCTCACAGCCAGCCCCTGGGGAGGCGGGTATAATTATAGATTTTTGAGAAGGACATGATTGTGTTCTCCAGCCCCAGGGCCCTAGCAGGGCTGGGCTTGCTGAGAAGACAATTAAAACCACAGTCTGCAAATTAGGGTTCTGCAGGAAAAGGAGGAAGAGGCTTGATTGTATGCAACATCTTCCTTTCTGCTTTTACAGAGAGGGAAAGGGATAGAGAGT